TCTGTAGGAAAACACTAAAATGACCTTGTAGCCTTCCTAAATTGTGACATTGCATGCATTAAAAACTGAATAAACAAAATGAAAAGAGAGACTGTAAGACATCAGATAAGTCACAATCAGTTTCCTCTGAGAACAAGAAACAGAACAGAAAAGAACAACTTACTGGCTGAGGAATGTTCTTCCTGATTGCATGCCTGAGGCCAGGATAAACCTCAAGAAGGTCATCTGTGACCCTAGTAATGTCCTCTGCCATTTTCACTCCCAAGACTGAGATAAACTCGTCACTTAAAGTCATCTCTGCCATCAAGTCAATGCTTCTACAGGACAGGCAATGCTAACCAGTGGAATGAGCACCTGTGTGGAAATTCAGTGAACTGGGCAAGATTTAGCTCTGCCCTTGCATAGCCAAGTTACCCTGTCAAGGTCATCTCACTCTTTTAGAGCCTCAGTACAAAGGACACGCCTGAAAGAACTTAAACTCACTCCCTGAGCTAAGATGCCAAGACTTTTTCCTCTATCCATAATATTCCCATAATTTTTTTGTGGGGTTTTTTTTTTTTGTTTTTTTTTTTATTTTCAGACAGTTTCACTCTTGTCTCCCAGGCTGGAATGCAGTGGTGCGATCTTAGCTCACTGCAATCTCTCTCTCCCTCCAAGTGATCCTCCTTCCTTAGCCTTCCAAGTAGCTGGGATTATAGGCGCTCACAACCGCGCCGGCTAAATTTTTTGTATTTTTAGTAGAGACGGGGTTTCGCCATATTGGGCAGGCTGGTCTCAAACTCCTGACCTCAGGTGATCCGCCTGACTCGGCCTCCCAAAGTGCTCAGATTACAGGCATGAGCCACTGTGTCCAGTCTCTTTTCCCAAAATATTCTATGATGTTGACACAGTGTTTAAGAGTAAGGGCTTCACTTACAAAGAATTAAGAATCACAAATCTATGGCTCACGCCTGTCATCCCAGCACTTTGGGAGGCCAAAGCCAGCAAACCAAATGAGGTCAGGAGTTCAAAACCAGCCTGGCCAACACAGTGAAACTGTCTTTACTAAAAATAAAAAAAATTAGCTGGAGGTGGAGGGGGGCACCTGTAATCCCAGCTACTCGGGAGGCTGAGGCAGGAGAATCGCTTGAACCCGGGAGGTGGAGATTGCAGTGAGCCAAGATCGTACCACTGCACTCCAGTCCGGGCGACAGTATCAGATTCTGTCTTGAAAAAAAAAAAAAAAATTACAAATCTGTGTGTGAATCTGGGCTCTGCTACTTTCAGGCTGTGAGACCTTAAGCAAATTACTTAACTCTTCAGTTTCCCCACATGTAAAAATGAGCGTGGCTATATTGTCTACCTCATAGTGTATGAGGATAAATGTACATAATACATTTACATCCTAGCTGGTACAATGTAAGCACTCAATAGAAGTAGTAATTATATTATTCTTGCATTTGATTCATCAATCCTTAGTGGCTCAGTACCTTTGAACTAAAAGATGTAAATTTCAAAATTACCTCAAAAACAAACCCTGCATAGCTTGGCCAGGCACAGTGGCTCACGCTTATAATCCCCGCACTTTGGGAAGCCAAAGGGGGCATCGCCTGAGGTCAGGAGTTCAAGACCAGCCTGACTAACATGGTGAAACCCACTCTCTACTAAAAATACAAAAATTAGCTGGGCCAGGCACAGTGGCTCACGCCTGTAATCCCAGCACTTTGGGAGGCCAAGGAAGGCAGATCACAAGGTCAAGAGAGCGAGACCATCCTGGCCAATACAGTGAAACCCTGTCTCTACTAAAAATACAAAAATTAGCTGGGCGTAGTGGTGCATGCCTATAGTCCCAGCTACTCAAGAGACTGAGGCAGAATTGCTTGAACCTGGAAGGTGGAGGTTGCAGATCACACCACTGCACTCCAGTCTGGCACCTGGAGACAGATCGAGACTCTGTCTCGAAAAAAATAAATTTAAAAAAAATTAGCTGGGTGTGGTGGTGCACACCTGTAATCCCAGCTCCTCAGGAGGCCAAGGCAGGAGAATTGTTTGAACCCAGGAAGCAGAGGTTGCAGTGAGCTGAGATCGCATGACTGCACTCATGCCTGGGTGACAGAGCAAGACTTTGTCTCCCCCATCGCAAAAAAAAAAAAAGATGCCCCCACATAGCTCCCCAGCATAGAATGGGTTGAGCCCATAAATGGTTACAATCCTGTGGTCTGAATCGTCATTTTGCTTTGCCTCCATTTCTCTGAAAATAAAAAGGGGATTAAAATACCTCATAAAATATTCTCTAGTACAGTTTTGGGATTTTTATTTTACTTTATTTGGAGACTGAGTCTTGCTCTGTCACCCAGGCTGGAATGCAGTGGCACAACCTCAGCTTACTACAAACCTCCGCCTCCCGAGTTCCAGCGATTCTCCTGCCTCAGCTTCCAATTAGCGGGGATTACAGGTGACCACCACCACACCCAGCTAATTTTTGTATTTTTAGTAGAGACAGGGTTTCACATGTGCGAGGCTGGTCTTGAACTCCTGACCTCAAGTGATCCACCCACCTCAGCCTCCCAATATGCTGGGATTACAGGCATGAGCCACCATGTCCAGCCTCTAGTAGTTTTGACCAAAGACAAAGTATGTAGTATAAATGAGATAACAGAATTATTTGTCACAAGAATTAAATAAGATGACATGGGCACAGCCTATAAAGTATAAAGCTTAGTATGATTTCTGCTTATAAGAAGAAGCTGAGGTCGGGCGCAGTGGCTCATGCCTATAATCCCAGCACTTTGGGAGGCCAATGCAGGTGGATCACAACATCAGGAGTTCGAGACTATCCTAGCTAACATGGTGAAACTCTGTCTCTATTAAAAATACAAAAATTAGCTGGATGTAGTGGTGCGCACCTGTAATTCCAGCTACTCAGGAGGCTGAGGCAGGAGAATTACTTGAACCCAGGAGGTGGAGGTTGCAGTAACCCAAGATCGTACCACTGCACTCCAACCTGGGTGACAGAAAGAGACTCCATCCCCCCAAAAAGAAGGAGCTGAGGTTCACAAGTTTTAAATATAAACTCAGACCTACTGAGATTTCCTGAGAGTTAAAGATTTCTAGAGTGGTCAACTCTAGAAATAACAAGATGGCCATGGGTGTAAGGGGCTAACATGGAAATAAAGTGGCCAACAATGTTGAAGGGCAGGTTGCTGCAGAAACGCCTGCTGCATAATAAAGGTATACATACACACTCATTTTTCTCATTTTGTCTAGCCTTAGTAAAAAAGAAACTAAGTTACAGATCTACATCATTCTTCATATTTTGTTAACTTGATGACCGAGCCAAAGGCGGCTGAAAGAACCAATGTACAAAATGCATGGCAAACCCTATTTTCACTTGTAGCTTTGCCTCTATCTTCCACATGAAATGTTACTGCAAATAAAGATGAGGGAGGGCTTCAACTAAGCACATCAAGACATAAGGCAATTAAGACCTCCAACTCACTGGTCTCCCCTCAAAACCTGATTCAAATGTTTCCATGCAAAATTGGAACTGCAAATATTTTGTCCCATCCAGTCTTAATTTCACACATTGTTCAGGATAAGCATATCCTAGAATCAATATCCCACAGTCTGAAGAAAGCACTAGGCTTTGAATTGGTCCTGGTATTTGGAGACACCCTAAGGAACTGGTGATGTTTGGAAAACCACTTCAGTGAGCTCTTTACACTATGCATGTAGTAGTTCCTCACTGCTTGGCATAAATTACTTTCATATACAGAAAGCCTATCTGCAATATATTCTGAAACCTGGTTTTAAGGAATGCAGATATTTCAAGTTTCTGTACATATTTTTTCCCCATTATCTACCTGGGTTCAGGAAAAATGCAGCAATTTACTTTGTAAATCTTCCTTTACACAATAGAAACCAAGGGATATGACTGAATACCTAGCTGAAGAACCCATATTCTATATAGTTACAATTCTGTGGTCTAAATACTTAAGCAGCACAACAAATTCTTACGAATTATAGCTTTCCATTTAATACACTCTCAACACCCAGAAATCAAAGTAGACGATCCACTTGGAAATATAAAATTATCTGGAAGTTTGATCCGTGAGGTTTATGCTGACAGCATAATGTAGCAGAAGATAAAATTACAGGCTTTGGCATCAGGCAACCTGGGTTTGAATTCCAGCTCAACCACTTACAGAGTGACACTAGACAAGCTACTTAACCTGTGTGATCCTCAGTTTCCTCATCTGCAATATTGGGATGATAATGCCTATCTACTGGTGTTAAAATGTGCCCCAAAATACCAATTCTCTTCCTCTACTACTTTTCAATTCCCTTCTCCAGAAACTTTAGTTGCATTCACATAAAACTGAATACATTTGAAAACCATAGAAGTTTCTTGAATTTGGTATGAAAACAGAAGAGTAACATCTAAAACTAAAAGGACAACCTAACAAAAACAAGAAAAAACAAATTAGGAAAACACAGAGGTTTAACATAAATGTGTTTCCATGCTCCTCACACATTGGGAGGAGCAAATGTAAAGCAATATAAATAACTATGATTAAGATTCAGTGGAAAAGGAACATATCCCCAACAAGTCCAATGGAACGACTCTGACTGGAATAAAAATTTTGGAATATGAACCAGAAAGTGTTGACAAGTCCTGTTCCTTAAGAAGCCATCCGCCGGCTGGGCATGGTGGCTCAAGCCTGTAATCCCAGCACTTTGGGAGGCCGAGGCGGGTGGATCACGAGGTCAAGAGATCGAGACCATCCTGGTCAACATGGCGAAACCCTGTCTCTACTAAAATACAAAAAAATTAGCTGGGCATGGTGGCGCGTGCCTGTAATCCCTGCTACTCAGGAAGCTGAGGCAGGAGAATTGCCAGAACCCAGGAGGTGGAGGTTGCGGTGAGCCGAGATCGCGCCATTGCACTCCAGCCTGGGTAACAAGAGCGGAACTCCGACTCAAAAAAAAAAAAAAAAAAAAAACCACACCTCAGTGTTTAAATGCTTGCACTCTCCGGCAAAATCCCTGATCTGATTCTACATTTCATCTATGCCCCTAGCCCTGATGCCTTTTTCCCCATACCATGCACTCACACCGTGGACTTCAGGGCCACTTCCAAACTGGGTCACACTAGCACCCCTGGATCTCGAAGATCTCTCAGCTGGTCACTTGGGCTTCGGTGTTTCCAGGCCTGGAACCCTGAGGGCCTGCACAACCCCATGTTGGGCTACATATGTATCAGGAAAAGCACCTATGAAAGTGAATGTCCCCCATTCCAGGCCACAGCCCAGGCTACCCCCAAAGCACCGGCCAGGCCATCACCCTCTCTTCCCCCTTAAGGCCTCTAGGCTCGCACCCGCGCCGCAACCCCCGCGTGCGCCGCAGGGGGTCATTGCCCCCGCCGCCCTAGACCAAGACGCGCGCATCCCTGCAGCCTCAGATTCCTTCATCACCCCCTAGGCCGGAGCCGGCGCGACCAATAAGGTGCCAGGTCCGCGGCCTCCCCGCCACCAACCAATCACGAGCGAGCCCCCCCGCCGTCGCCTTCCGCCAATGGGAGAAAGCCCGCGGGCCGGGCCGACGAGGCGCACGGACCCCACGAGCGCGGCGGCGGGGACGACAGCGTCGGGGCTGGCAAGAACACAACATGGCGGCGAGCAGGCCGGACCGAGCTACAGCAGCGGCCGCGCGAGGAAGTGAGGTCTCCGGCCGAGGCGGGAAGCGCTGCCCCTCCCCCCGCCGCCGCTCCCCTCTCACCCTCCCTCGCACGGAAGCTCCCGCACACTCACACGCCTTTGCTCGGGAGTCCGGGAAGAGCAGGAGCCGCCCCCGCGCTCCTGCAGAGTCGGGCAATGCAGAGGCCCAGGCACGGCGGAAGGAAGGGGAAAGCGTGCGTCACGGAGAACGGAGCGCGCGCGAAGCGGGGGCACAAACAAGATGGCGGTCACGCCGTTTGCACGGTCTCTCCTTTTCCCTTCCCCCTCCCTGGGCCTAGACTCTTAGTATCGGGCTGCGCGCAGAAGCTGAGCTGCTTGAAGTCTCGCGAGGATTGGGAAGGGGCGACGACAGAGTGAGGCGGAAAGAGATGTGAGAGTTTTGACCCCACCCCCTTTCGGGGGATCTGGAGGCGTTGCCCGGTGACCTCCACCTGGCTTTCTATCCTTGTGACTCTCTTTGGTGCGAGCTTGAATTTTAGTAAATAAGTAGGGGCGTGTGCGTGTGCGTGTGCGCTTGAATTTTAGGAAATAATACGTGTGTATTTGGGTTTTTAATTTGGGGAGAACTGGAGGATGAAGGTCGACTTGGCGTGCCAGATGAAGCATGCTGTTCAAGTAGACAGCTACTGGCGCCTTAAATTCATAAAAGAGAGCATTTGACACCAAACTGTAAAGTGATACCCTCCAAAATAAAGAACAGTACTTGGCAAGAATAGTTAGCTTGTAACTTCGACATAGACGTTGTTCTCATTTGAATGCAGATTTTAAATCTTTATCACGCAGTTGAAAACCACAGCTACAATGAGCATGGACTTTTTCACTTATCTCTTTCATTTCCATTGGTCCAAAGGCATCAGGATTTTATCCATTTTACAAATGATAAAACTGAAGCTCAAAAAGGTTAAGTAACTTGATCTAAGTAAGGCCCCACAGCTAGTAGCTGTCAAAACCCAATCCGAATAACTTCAAAACCTATAGGAATAGTCATCAAATGTGTTTTGAATGGAATTACCTACAGTAAGAGTTAGTGCATGAGGTAACAAGCACAGAGAGGAATGACTGCCTCTGCTGATGGTAACCTTGAATTTTACATTGGAGCTTTTGTGACATGTGTTGCATGGGTCCTCAATAAAATCTACACATATTGTTACTCACTACCTGTGGGTTTATAACCCTGGTGATAAAGTAATTGAGAATAGTGGAATAAACCCTTAAATTCAGGAAAATTGTTTTCAAATCCAATTTCAATAAATGTGCTTTAGGCACTCAATAAATATTTGATGAATAAATTAACAAAACCTAACTATAAGACACTTGACTTCAGGGAGTCTCAATTTCTTCATCTGTAAAAGGATCTAATTCCTAACTCTTGGTAATGTAGGGAGAGTGAATGAAATAATGTGAGAGTGCTTTGTAAACTGCAATAGTGTTATAAAGAAGTTACTGCAGTAAGCTATGAACATGCCACTGCACTCTAGCCTGGGTGAAGCAGTGCAAGGCCTTGTCTCAGAAAAAAAAAAAAAAAGTTACTTATAACAACAATGACATTTTCAGACTTCAGAAATGGCATACAATTATGAACAGGGAGACTCAAGAAAATACTATGTTGAGATTGTAGAGAGACAAATTAGCTATTGGAAAAAAGCTACGTAAGTCTTTCTACAAGTATGTATTGAGCAATTATTGCATATGCTATGCTTACCAGAGAAATGTAAAAATGTGTAGGAAACATGATTATTGTTGTAATTAAGTATTGACTGCACTTAGGGGCTGCAGTCCATTCTCTTCCAAGAGCCTGGAAATTGGGTCGCCCTCAGAAATAAATAAAAATCTACATATTAGGGGAAATTAGCTAAGAATGATGTTAAATATATTTAACAACAAGTAGTGCTCAAGCATTGAACAAGCAGAATTAGAAATCCAGTTAGGGTCCTGGAGGTACAGCAGCTACTTACCAGACAGTACTAGAGTATTTCAGTATTTTAATAGTCAATGCTATAACTGATAGCAGTCATCTGGTACATGTGAGGCTAATATTAGTCCTTGCTGTAGACTGTATTATCAATGGTCTCTGCCCTTCCCTTTCTAAAGCCCTCTCTATCTAGCTTGTCCCTAGGAGATTTGGGTGAAAGACTTTTCCCCCTAATGTCATCAAGTTTGTCCTTGTTTTGACCAGTGAAATGTGAGTAAAAATGGCATGAACCACTTCTCAGCAGAAATTTATGAGCTATCTTATGATTTTACCATATTATCTTTCCTCTGATACAAGAGCAGTATGTCCTAAATAGAGCTACCTCTTCAGCTTTGGTCCCAGAATGATGTGCAGAGCCACAACTGACAGACATGACGTGGAATGTCGTGTGGACAATAAATAAATCTTTGTTGTAAGCCGCTGAGATTGTTTTCATTGTTACTGCAGCATAACCTGCTAGCTAAGCAGACTAATGCAGCCATGAAATTCACTGTCTGTAGGAGTAAGCCAAGACCTTTTTTTACAAACATGACCAAAAAACAAAACATACTCTGGGCCAGGCACAGTTGCTGATGCCTGTGGTCCCAGCATTTATGAGGCAGAGGTGGACAGATCATGAGGTCAGGAGATGAAGCATCCTGGCCAACATGGCGAAACCTCGTCTCTACTAAAAATAAAAAAATTAGCTGGACATGGTGGCACATGCCTGTAGTCCCAGCTACTTGGGAGGCTGAGGCACGAGAATCACTTGAACCCAGGAGGCAGAGGTTGCAGTGAGCCGAGATCACTCCACCCTCGGTGACAGAGTGAGACTTTGTCTTAAAAAAAAAAAAAAATACTCTGATCTAGGTCATATGAGAGGAATCTCAAGAAGGCAGATATGATTGTAATTTAATAAACGGAACCTAATCAATCTTGTCAGCCATTCTGTGCCCTTTTTGGAGAGAGATTCTGTGAACAAAAGGGCTTACTCAGCCATGGCAGCCCAAAACAAGGCAGTCACAAAGGCTAGCACTAACCATTGCCCCTCTAAGCCTCATATCAGTTAAGCCACTAAGCATTAGAATTTCCTTGTCCATGTCATCTCTGTAGTGGATGAGAATATCTCAGACTGCCTCAGCTAAGAAATGCTTCTTTCCCCCCAACCCTAGCTGGGAGTCTCACTCTGTTACTCAGGCTGGAGTGCAATGGTGCACTCTCAGCTCACCTCCACCTCCCGGGTTCAAGTGATTCTCCTGCCTCAGCCTCCCAATTAGCTGGGATTACAGGTGCATGCCACCACGCCCAGCTAATTTTTGTATTTTTAAGTAGAGATGGGGTTTCACCATGTTGATCAGGCTGGTCTCGAACCCCTGACCTTGTGATCCGCCCGCCTCAGCCTCCCAGAATGCTGGGATTACAGGCGTGAGCCACCGCACCGGCTAAAAATGCTTCTTAAGATCAACATGCTTTCCTCTATGTTCACGCAGCAAGCGTCTTGGTGATAGGGACAGAATTAATGATCTGCCACCTAGAGGATTCCAGTTCTTTTGATAATTGTATTTTTCATTGCAACTGATCAGTTGGATTCCTCTTTATGTAAAAGTTTCTGTGAGCTTAGCAAATACAAGACACCCCTTCCCTGCCCCCAGGAAATAAACTCTCTGCTTACTATTAAAATCAGGTTTCTGAGTTTGCAAGGTTAAAGATCAGTTCTTGTATCATGGTAAATTCCTTAAGGTTCTAGCACTATAATGGGACCTGTCTAGACAGCCAGCTGGACTTCCTTAAGCCACACCCCTCTGTCTCATTGTGTGCCTTCTTTGACCTAAAAGAAAAGCAGTGCTAAAGAGAGGTATAGTTCATGTGCTGCTGGAGTTCAAAAAGAGCGTGCTTACTTCCACTTAATATGAAATAATAGCAGGAGTTTGGGAAAGATTTGCAAGCATGTGAACCTTGAACTGGGTCTTAAAAAGTGAGTAGAATTAGGGAAGAGCATGCCATATGTAGGCAGCCGGTAGAGCAAATAGAAGTGAGGGATCAGTTGAGGAAGTACAGAATAAGAGGGAATGAAAGAAGAATCATATGGAAAGATACATTATTATGGTTAAATTAAGGCTCTTGGGTTTTATTTTCTGCTATGGGAAGTGAGTGGTAGAAGTTCTTTGTTTTGCTTTTAAACAGTTTAGCCATCTTTAAGTGTACATTTCAGTGACGTTAAGCCTGTTCATGTTGTGTATCCATCAGCAGAATTTGTCAGTACCCCATACTGAAACTCTGTATATATATTAAGCACTAACGTCCTATCCCTTCTCCCCCAGCTTCTGGTAACCACCATTCTACTTTCATCTTTTGGCTACTATAAATGAAGCTTCTATGGACAGTGATATACAAATACCTGTTGAAGTCCCCACTTTCGATTATTTGGGATATATGCCCATAGTGAAATTGCTGGATTATATGGTAATTCCATGTTTAATTGTTTGTTTTGAGGAGCCACCATACTGTTTTCCATAGCTTCTATGTCATATTACATTCCCAGTGGTAGAAGGTTTTACAAAAGATAGTGACATAATCAAAACTATGCTTCAGAGCAATCTGGAAAAGAGAGTAAGGTGGAATGGAGTTGCAGAATGACCATATGGAGACTTCTACAATTGTTTAGGCAAGATATAATGAGGGTCAGGCCTGATCACATCAGCAGCAATGAGAATGGAGGGAAGAGGGTACAAATGCTGAGGTGATACTGCCAAGGAAACACTGAAAGGACTTGACTGTCGATTGGCTATTGAGGATTTGTGAAGAAGAAAATCAAGGTGTTTAATATGAATCCCATGTGCCACACCTGGGAGGATGGTAGTCTCCAGATGAAGAGTTAGGGTATGGAGAATTTATGAGTTCAGGTTTGGATATGTAACATTGTAAGCCACAGGGTGGACATTTGTTGTCTTGCATGCTGAATACCCCTTGCCTTTTCAACTGGTAATGGCACTGTATTTTTTTTTTTTTTTTATTGAGACTGAGTTTCGCTCCTGTTGCCCAGGCTGGAGTGTAGTGGTGCGATCTCGGCTCACTGCAACCTCCGCCTTCCAGGTTCAAGCTAATCTCCTGACTTAGCCTCCCAAGTAGCTGGGATTACAGGTGCCCGCCCCCACACCCAGCTAATTTTTTGTACTTTCAGTGGAAATGGGGTTCTACTCTGTTGGCCAGGCTGGTCTCGATCTCCTGAACTCAGGTAATCCACCCACCTCGGCCTCCCAAAGTGCTGAAATGATAGGCGTGAACCACCATGCCGAGCCTACTTTTTTTTTCTTTATATAAAGATTGTAGAATGTACCCTTCTTCATCTCTGCATTGGCTAGGCTGGGAAGGTATGTGGACATGAGAATGTGCTTCTCAGATCTGTGACTGGGGAAATTGTAACATACCAACAGTCCAGCTGCTGAAATCCACCCTGAGCTTTGAAATCCATTGTCCTTTACTCCGAGGTGTTACTTCCCATAGGTTGCTTCTAGCCAGTAACTGAGCCCAATGGGGATTTTAGGACAGGACTGTTCCTGGGATAAGTGATACTCTTCTGATGGATGACTTTGACTCAAGGACTCCTCATTAACCTTGCCAAACTTTCCTTAGAACTTCACTGTAGCCTGAGACACTTCCACCTTGAACACCTTCCCTCTGTCCTTCACTCAGGGTCAGGCCTGCATCACTGTGTGATGGCTCTCAGTCTTCCATTTCCTCTCACAGGTGTTTTTCATGATAAATTTATTGCATTTTATTCTGTCTTGGTGTTTGATTTCCTGGGAATCTGAACTAACATGAGGGGAAAGAGAACAGGATGCTTCCTACCATAGTACATATTCTGTACCCCATTAGCCACAGGAGTAGGAACATGACCCAGTCTGACCAATCAGCAATCTCCCACATCTTGGCCCAGTGCCTCCTCATAGCCTCTTGGAGTAATTTGGCTCCCAGACAGTTAACCACTTGGTTCACCTCAATGACAGACATAGCTGACCAAATCTAAGCAAGGCCTCATAATTCTGCTGCTTGAGACCAACTAGTTACAAACATGGAGTCTATGGCTTCTGCAACTCCCAGACCCTGATAAACACCACCTCACAAATCGTGGGATTTGGCTTCCTGAGCAGCTGCTGAAGGGGCCAATGAAGCAACCTAGTACAGAGGATTTAGCTACCCACAGAGCAAACGATGAATGAATGGGAGACAGGAAGAAGCAAGCTGTAACTATTCATTCTTCCTTCCTCCCTCTAATGGGCTGTTTCAAGATACAGTTTCTCCATACAACCTGTCTAGAGAAATATTCTGTATGGCCAAATGTTTACTACTTCACAATGAGCTGTAGCTAGTCTCTTGACTGTCAAGAGACTAGCTACAGCTCATTGTGAAGTAGTAAACATTTCCTTCCATTGCTTCTCTTCTCTTCCCACTTTCTCTTCTCCCTAATTCTTAGTACCCCAGGGCTGTGCCTCTCACATAAAGCGTTAGCACTTAATCCCTTCTTCAGGCTTTGTTTTCTTGGAAATCTTGCTAAAACAGATCACAGTTTTTGAAGAGATGGGCACATCACCTGAACTAAGCTAAGCAAAGCCTTCCTAAAGATTTGAAATACAGATGTAGGAGAGATGGGGTTTTTTATTCTGAAGATCTTGAGCTATGAGGAACTGAGAGCGGCCATTATTCTTGCTTCATGGAGAGAGCCTGTCTGAGAATGAAGGCATCACAGAGGAAGGCAGAACTTGGAGAAAGAGGGAGACAGAGCCCTGACACATCCTTTGAATACCTAGATCCAACTTTCCCCAATATGTGTGACCACTTTGTCATTGCTTTGTCACTCTGAAGACCAGTTTTCCCAATCCATGTCATATAAAACATGGTATCCAATGAGTCCCAGGTTGCCTCCATTCAAAAAATCATCAGGTGACTAGATTCTTAGGCTCAATTCCAAATTTCTGGGAGGAAGAGCTCCTGTTTGAGCTAGCTCTGGCCAAATGTCCAGCAGTGGACATTGTGGAGAGGGGGACAAGGTCATACATAAACATGGTTGTATCCACTGTAACTCTATGAAGTGACACTTCTCAGAAGATTAGGAGTAGAGAATTAGACAGACTAAACAATGTCTGTCCACTTCCTGAGAATAAATAAAGGGAAAGAGGGTAAGGAAGTCAGAGGACAGAACCTTTATCTAAACCAACACTATCTAACAGAACTTTCTGCAGTGCTGGAAATGCTTTATGTCTGTGCTGTTCAATATAGTAGCCACTAGCCGCATGTGGCTGTTGAGCATTTGAAAGATGGTTAGTGCAACCAAGAAATTGAAGTTTTAATTTCATTTTATTTAAATTTAAATAGCTACATGTAGTATCTTAGTTAGTTTTCTGCTGCTCTAACAAAATACCAAAGACTGGGCAATTTATAAAGAAA